TATTTTGCCTTGGTTTGAAATGCTCTGTTAGTTTGGCTTTGGCAGTGTCATAATCTTTGGCACCACCAGTGTCTTTCAGTGTGTCAAAGATGTCACAAACTCTATCACCTGCATAATGAAGTAGAAAGGCACGCTTTCTTTCAGCACTTTTGATGTCAGAAACTATCAACAAATTTTCAAACTTTTTAAGCCATTTGACCCACCTCTGTGACAGGTTTGTCTGGTCACAGTCAGGATCAAATGCAGGAAACTGAGGTATATTTGCCATTTTTACTGAATAAATGTAACTTATCACTTAAATGTTCCTCAGAATATTAAACACTTACTGCACTGAATATGTTAGTCAAGAATTCACTGTAATTACTTTAATTTTGCAAAGCACACAAGCATTTTAATGCAAAAGTTCACAACAGTGCACAATATAGCAGCAACTGACTTCTTACCTAGCCCTTGTGTACATGTGTTGTTCCTACTCACAGCAGCAGCACAGCAGTTGGCACAGCAGTTGGTACAGCAGCAGTTGGTACAGCAGTTGTCAGCAGTTGGTACAGCAGCAGTTGGTACAGCAGTTGGTGCAGCGTGATGAATTTTATAGCACGAAGCGTCGTTTCGTAACCAAAACATCAGGTTTTGTACACATCAAAGCGTCGTTTCGTACACAACGTCGGCAGATTCCTCAGTACTGTTTCTTCAGCACAGCTTGGGTAGCACACAGCTTGGGTAGCACACAGCATTGGTTAGCACACAGCATCGTTTAGCACACAGCATTGGTTAGCACACAGCATCGGTTAGCATACAGCATCGGGTATGGCGCTCACAGCTTCTCTTCCTCCTCCAGGCAGCATGCTTCTCTCTTGTGTTTGAAACTGAACAAATACCTGCGTTCACAGTTCATCCTCGTCGCCAATGTGGTGTTTGTGTGTTACTGAGGAAGTCTTGGTTGTAGGGTTGATGTAAAGTCATGACTTGGTTACTGACTTTAATACTTAATATGATTACATGACTAGTAGCTACCAAGCTTGGCTGGCGTCCTGTACGCTCTATTGTTTACCTTCCTCTCTCTCTGGCGTCTGCTCCGCCGCACATAGAAAACGGATGGTACCATTTTCTGTGAACATGACACCCACCATCTCTCACTTCCGTCCCCTCATCATCCCCACTCCCTCATTCGATGCCTTCCCAAATGATCTGATGTTCCCATCACTGAAATATAAGAAAAACAATTGAAAAATAAAATGAAAATATGAAAAAATAAAAAAGTAAACTATACTCACGAAATGAACAGTATGGTAAACAACACAGCTCAATTAAAACACAATTCCCTCAAAATAATTAAATCAAAATGAAAATAAGTCAAAATTTATGAAAATTTAATTTATCAATGCAATCAGAAACATTGAAATGCAATTGTTACATATTTAGTATAGCATGTGTTTTGCTCTTACATGCAACAGATGGCACTGTTTCTCAAGAAAAGCATAGTTTTACCTGTCACAAGTGTGGTATCTGTACTTATACTAACGAAATGAACAGTATGGTCAACAATACAGCTTAATTCCAACACAATGTCACACAAAATAAAACAATAAAAAAAAAATCGAAATCTATGCAAATAAAATTTATCAGTGCAATCGGAAACATTGAAATGGAATTCATGACATACTTAGTACAGCGTGAATGTTGCTATTATGTGCAGCAGATGGCACTGTTTTTAAAAAACGCGTGTTTTTACCTGTCACATGGGTGTCATCTATATAGTACGTATATAAAAAGACGCGTCTATTCGAATGCAACGTTGTGTCAAAATTTCAAACAAATTAGTGAAGATCTTTTGGAGATTACAGTGTGTGTTGCTCTTACGTCCAACAGATAGCACTGTTTTTTCCAAAAAAGAAAGTTTTTCCTGTCACAGGTGAGGCATGTATATAGTAGATATATAAAAAGACGCGCCTGTTCGAATGCAACTTTGTGTCAAAATTTCAAAACAATCGGTAAAGAGGTTTCGAAGATTTCTCTCACATGAAAAACACAGTTTTTCAGAAAAAAAAAAATTACCGTCAGAGACGTGACATCTATATAATATGTATATAAAAACCTGGCCAGATGCAAATGGAACACTGTGTGAAAATTTCAAAGCAATCGGTGAAGAACTTTCGGAGATTAGCGATTTTGAACAAACGAACATTTCCATTTTTATTTATATAGATAGGTAGCTAACCTCCAAATGAGGTAAATTAAAATCAGCCTATTTAAGAAAATATTAAGCTGTCAATAACTATACCTGCTCTACAGGTATGAGCAAGTACCATAGCTGTCAAAGTAGCTATATAAGCCCTATAAGGTTCTAACTCACAGTCAGCATGGCTTGTCCAGGAAAAACTGGAAGAACCTTGAACGGTCTTCAATGTCATTTAACAGGACTACTCAATAAATGTGACAACTGTTTAAGAACTAACCCAGTTAACATTTCCAGGCTAAGAATTTCCACAGAAGTGGCTAGCCAAAAATATGACTTTGTCAAGAGTATAATCGAGTCTTATAGACACATATTTCTTGTCAATGATACTGACCCAGGCGAATTAAGTCTGATAGAATCTGACCTTGCCGACTATGAAGATATAATTCAAGACAAGTTAGATCACTATAACAAAGTGCTTTCAACAGCAAATGTTCTTGCTGGAGCAGAACATTTTTATAGTACACTTATACCCAAGCAAGCACTCAGCTCAGATGAAATACATGAGCTACCTCCAAATGAGGAGAATCCTCCTAATTAAATTAGATCCTGGGTTCTGTAAATTCAATACAGGAGGTTACTGAATTAACCAGTCTCTCCCATGATCCCAGAGAAATAAGTGAAGCTGCAGATGAAACTTCAAGTGAAGCTGCAACAGCCAGTTAATCTGAACCAGAACATGAAAATAGAGCTGAAGGTGTAATTAAAGCTGAGGCTAAGCAAGAAGCCTTAAGCAACACAAGTAAGTCATAATTACTCAAACCAACCTCCCAGAGCAAGTGCTGACAATGAGAAGACTTATAATCCTTGTACACCAATTACTAGATTTATCTCAACCAGAACAATCAGTTGACTCCTTACAAGCGTTTAGTTTTCAGCTTGAGTCACTGTTAAATTCCTCCAGTAAAAAGGTGGATCACCCCACTGCTGAGTGGATGACTAAAATTATCATCCAGAGAAAGTTGTCTGGTGAGATAGTCAATGAATTATATACATACCAGAATGGTACTGTCCTGTCAATGCAGGGTATATTCGCAGATTTGCGTAATATAATAAATGAATCAGCAAACCAGGCATTTAATAATTCTTCTAATGCACAGAAACTGTACCCACATCAATTTCCTTGCATGAAACTCCTGAAGTGACACTGTCATTAGGTAATAAGGGTATTAATAATCAATGTAATACTAACAGGTCAAACACTGATTTATCAGTAAGACCTAAGAGCACCACAAGCGCTACCAAGAGACCCAAAAGTCCAACAAGTGCTCGCAAGAGCCCAATAATTGCTCCCCAGAGTACAACAAGTACTCGCAAGAGAATAAATAACAAGCAAATGCAAGCAGAAAAATCATCACAACCTGTAGTTGCAGTTTCACCTGAACAGGTGTCCCCAAAACGAACTGTAGGATACGGGTCATGTTTGTTTTGCAATCAAAACCACTCTCTGAACAAATGTACTAATTATCCTAATAGAGGCACACGAGTCAGAAGACTCAAACAGTTACACAAATGTACTAGGTGTCTCAAATCACATAATCTTAACAGCTGTGACACCCCCACTGAACACCTGCATTACATGTAGAAGGGGCAAGCATCACACTGCATTGTGCAAATTTGTCAAAACAAATTATTTCAATCCTAGAATAGGAGGTAGAGAATCTACACATGTACAGTGCTGCTAGGTGTGAGATGTTTACAGCGTAATTTCACCAGTGTTTTAATTTCTTATTTACACCTTAGCAGTGGTATAGGCATATAAGTTTAGTTATAATTATGTTCTTAAGTATTACTCTCTGATAGCAGGGTATCTAGAGGTTTCATGTGGGTTTTAGTTGGTAACTTGTAGACACCATGCCGTTCATGCTCCAGCCACGCCAGTCGCATGGGTGGAGCTGGCTGGCATGGGCATGTTGTGAGATAAGTCTGTGGTACTTGTTTATTGTTTAGTAACATAGCTAATTTCCTGGTTAGACCATTATGTGCACACCCATCTATCCATTTAAGTTTCTAAAATAGTGATCAATGCTTATATAATGATATTGTGTTATTGTATTCTGGTGCATTAATATTTCTGGCTGCTTGTATTTCCGTTTGTATGTTCTTTGTTACCCTTACTCTAAGTATATTGCTTTGTTGAGTAAGCAGTTGGCTTATTTACCCTAGACACTTTCAGTAGGCAAGACCGTATTATTATATAATTTTTTTTACAACGCAAACAGAGGAACCATACCCAGAGGTCAAGGGTCATAAGAAAATGAGGGCCTATGTTGATAATTGATTCCCATAATTTAATGAACAAAATAGTGGTGCATGTTATTAATTATTAATGCCTTCCTAGGTACTGTGTGATTAACTAGTGATACCTAACCAAGCCTGTGTACCACTTTTCAGTTTCATTCTGAGCTGCTTGTGGAAGTTATCTCAACACTTCACGATTGAGGTAAGTGTACAGCTTGTGCCAGGGGCCAAGTAAACCTTCAGTGTTGTTGTAATTGCTAGTGGTGTTAATTAAGCTGACAATGGAGGAACAAGTTGCTGTGTTGGTGGAGCATCCAAATTTTGGTGAAATTAAAAACTTGAAGAAGTCTGAGTTGTTGTACATGGCTGAAAAATTAAATACGACATTTTCCAGGAGAATGTTAAAGGCTCAGCAATAAGAGTCATTGTCACACACTTGGTGGAGGAGGAGAAACTTGACGAGGAGTAGTTAGAGGAATTAGAAGAAGAGTCAAGTGACCTGGTGGCAATTCTAAAGTTAGAGATGGAATCTAATCTAGAGATGGCTAAGTTAGAAGCAGAGAAACAGAGGTTGGAGATGCAGAATCGCCAAAAACAGCTGGAGTTGGAGACTCAGCAGCAGATGCTTGAGGCTCAGAACCAGGAAAGACAACTTGAGATTGAGGCTCAGAACCAGCAAAGACAACATGAGATTGAGGCTCAGAACCAGCAAAGACAACTTGAGATTGAGGCTCAGAACCAGCAAAGACAACATGAGATTGAGGCTCAGAACCAGCAAAGACAACTTGAGATTGAGGCTCGGAACCAGCAAAGACAACATGAGATTGAGGCTCAGAACCAGCAAAGACAACATGAGATTGAGGCTCAGAACCAGCAAAGACAACTTGAGATTGAGGCTCAGAACCAGCAAAGACAACTTGAGATTGAGGCTCAGAACCAGCAAAGACAACTTGAGATTGAGGCTCAGAACCAGCAAAGACAACTTGAGATTGAGGCTCAGAACCAGCAAAGACAACATGAGATTGAGGCTCAGAACCAGCAAAGACAACTTGAGATTGAGGCTCAGAACCAGCAAAGACAACTTGAGATTGAGGCTCAGAACCAGCAAAGACAACTTGAGATTGAGGCTCAGAACCAGCAAAGACAACTTGAGATTGAGGCTCAGAACCAGCAAAGACAACTTAAGATTGAGGCTCAGAACCAGCAAAGACAACTTAAGATTGAGGCTCAGAACCAGCAAAGACAACTTGAGAGTGAGGCTCAGAACCAGCAAAGACAACTTGAGATTGAGGCTCAGAACCAGCAAAGACAAGTTGAGATTGAGGCTCAGAACCAGCAAAGACAACTTGAGGGTGAGGCTCAGAACCAGCAAAGACAACTTAAGATTGAGGATCAGAACCAGCAAAGACAACTTGAGAGTGAGGCTCAGAACCAGCAAAGACAAGTTGAGATTGAGGCTCAGAACCAGCAAAGACCACTTGAGATTGAGGCTCGGAACCAGCAAAGACAACATGAGATTGAGGCTCAGAACCAGCAAAGACAACATGAGATTGAGGCTCAGAACCAGCAAAGACAACTTGAGATTGAGGCTCAGAACCAGCAAAGACAACTTGAGATTGAGGCTCAGAACCAGCAAAGACAACTTGAGATTGAGGCTCAGAACCAGCAAAGACAACTTGAGATTGAGGCTCAGAACCAGCAAAGACAACATGAGATTGAGGCTCAGAACCAGCAAAGACAACTTGAGATTGAGGCTCAGAACCAGCAAAGACAACTTGAGATTGAGGCTCAGAACCAGCAAAGACAACTTGAGATTGAGGCTCAGAACCAGCAAAGACAACTTGAGATTGAGGCTCAGAACCAGCAAAGACAACTTAAGATTGAGGCTCAGAACCAGCAAAGACAACTTAAGATTGAGGCTCAGAACCAGCAAAGACAACTTGAGAGTGAGGCTCAGAACCAGCAAAGACAACTTGAGATTGAGGCTCAGAACCAGCAAAGACAAGTTGAGATTGAGGCTCAGAACCAGCAAAGACAACTTGAGGGTGAGGCTCAGAACCAGCAAAGACAACTTAAGATTGAGGATCAGAACCAGCAAAGACAACTTGAGAGTGAGGCTCAGAACCAGCAAAGACAAGTTGAGATTGAGGCTCAGAACCAGCAAAGACAACATGAGATTGAGGCTCAGAACCAGCAAAGACAACTTGAGATTGAGGCTCAGAACCAGCAAAGACAACTTGAGATTGAGGCTCAGAACCAGCAAAGACAACTTGAGATTGAGGCTCAGAACCAGCAAAGACAACTTGAGATTGAGGCTCAGAACCAGCAAAGACAACATGAGATTGAGGCTCAGAACCAGCAAAGACAACTTGAGATTGAGGCTCAGAACCAGCAAAGACAACTTGAGATTGAGGCTCAGAACCAGCAAAGACAACTTGAGACTGAGGCTCAGAACCAGCAAAGACAACTTGAGATTGAGGCTCAGAACCAGCAAAGACAACTTGAGATTGAGGCTCAGAACCAGCAAAGACAACTTAAGATTGAGGCTCAGAACCAGCAAAGACAACTTGAGGGTGAGGCTCAGAACCAGCAAAGACAACTTGAGAGTGAGGCTCAGAACCAGCAAAGACAAGTTGAGATTGAGGCTCAGAACCAGCAAAGACAAGTTGAGATTGAGGCTCAGAACCAGCAAAGACAACTTGAGAGTGAGGCTCAGAACCAGCAAAGACAAGTTGAGATTGAAGCTCAGAACCAGCAAAGACAAGTTGAGATTGAGGCTCAGAACCAGCAAAGACAAGTTGAGATTGAGGCTCAGAACCAGCAAAGACAAGTTAAGATTGAAGCTCAGAACCAGCAAAGACAAGTTGAGATTGAGGCTCAGAACCAGCAAAGACAAGTTGAGATTGAGGCTCAGAACCAGCAAAGACAACTTGAGAGTGAGGCTCAGAACCAGCAAAGACAAGTTGAGATTGAGGCTCAGAACCAGCAAAGACAAGTTGAGATTGAGGCTCAGAACCAGCAAAGACAACTTGAGATTGAGGCTCAGAACCAGCAAAGACAACTTAAGATTGAAGCTCAAATCAACAAAAACAAGCAGAACTAGAAGCACAGAGCAAAAGAATTGAAGCTCAGTTGCAACTAGAAGATGTTAGGCAGTAGCAATAGGAAATTCAACAGAGTATAGCAATAAATAATAATAGACTAGAGGAACAGAGAATTGCAGCAGGGCATGGTGACACTAGAAATCATACAGATAGTACTGATAGCTGTTTTAAGTTTAGGAAAAATGTAGATTTACCTCAATTCAATGAGGAGGACCCAGAAATATTCTTTTTGCGTTTCCAGAAGTTAGCAGTCAGTATGAATTGGCCTGTGGATCAATGGGTTGCCATCATGCAGGGACAATTTAAGGGGAAAGCCCAGGAAATTTTTCCATCTCTTCTTGGTGCTAATTCTTTTGACTTTAAATTTTTCCAAGAGAGCATCTTAAATTCATACCAGCATATCCCAGAGGCCCATAAACAGAAAGTTAGAGGTATAAAAAGAGCACATGATCAGGCCATTTCTGATTTTGCAAGAGTTCAAATGAATCATTTTGATAAATGGGTAAAAGCATTTTCCATAACAGATTTTGAAACTTTGTGAAACCACATAGTGACAGAGGATATTTTAGGTTGTCTACCAGAGAAATTAGCCTTGTTTATAGCTGAACATAAACAGACCAATGATATTATGAAACTAGCCAAGCTAGCAGACGAACACGAACTACTCACTAAGGGGCCTTTTCGAGCACAATCAAATACTTATAATTCTAAGAGTAATTATCATGTTCCTAAATCTCATATTTTCCAGGCCAGACCAGCTAACTCACCTACTCCCCTGAACTCTTCTCCTGTAAAGCCAAAGATTGAGAAACAGCAGACAGGGTTG